ATGTCGAAAACAAAAATGTAGGTAGATACCCAACCCTGTTGTTTACTTGTTCATAACCTATAATTTTTGAAATGTGTTTTTACCTATTTAAATTTAATTTCTATGCTTTTACCAGTGTAAATAAATTTCTTTGCCTCTTCTTATACCTAGTATATCCTTTTTCTATACTAGTTTTTTCAATACACGTTATCCAATTCTCCTACATGTTTAATACAAAATAGGGAAGAATATAAAACAAACCTGCATATAATTCCTCCACTTCTTGTGGAGATTCCACAATATGGAGCACCCTATCATTTATTTTTACTGACAACACCCCGTTTACCATTTTAATACAAAGTTTAAAAAATATTTTAAATTTCAAATGTAAAGAACTTTTTGACAGATCGAAACAGAGAAAAATATATTTTAAAAAGAGAAAGACTATTAACCACGTTGAATAACTAGCTCAGCGATATATACATGGAGCCTATACAAGGAGCCCGAACTTCATGTAAACAAGAATCTTCCCAAGATAAGAGGGCGCTGGTGTAGTACCGGTCCAAAACAGTAGAGTGGTATAACCAGAGATGGCGCCACTACCTACCACTTATTATTGTGGAAATAATTGAGGTTATGCAACTGTCAGTTTATCGCTTTCTGAAAACAATGTACCCATGTACCTGGTTTTGTGTATAAAGGTCTTAATTTACAATAAATTTATATCAAATTTAACATTGGAATTCATGTTGGACTTTCTGATGTAGAGTATAGTACAGTTTTTTATAAATACGTGTTTTTTTCTATAAAAGAATGTCGTGTGATACTAAATCGTGTTCTGTGTGTAAAACTAACAGAATATTAAATTCATATGGTATTTATTTTTAGTTTTATAGGTAGATGGCTTAAATAAAAGTTTAATATAAACAAATAAAGGTGGAAATTATTAAATATGCTGTTTACTCATTTTATACATACTTTTTTATTTAAATTTAATTTAAATTATTAAATAGCGGTGTATTTCTAACCTGGAAATCTAATTTTGCCTCTCCAGAGTCGTAAAATCACTTTACAGATTATAAAGAATCACTTATATTTCACAACCAAAACCTATTTATTTTGCTTCTCCAGAGTCGTAAAATCACTTCACAGATTATAAAGAATCACTTATATTTCACAACCAAAACCTATTTATTAGAATCTACCTACCAGGTACAGCCATAAATAACAAAACGATTCGTACGTTAACATTATTGCAAATCAATTGTCAAAATTACTTGCTAACTTCACATGTATTTTTGATACTATTTTCACGTCGTACGGACGCATTGACAAACAGCGCCGCTGGTGGTGAAAAAAAAAGACCTAATTTGTGCAATTTAGTGGACAGGTTTTGTCAATTTTCCCTATTAAGTTCGGGCTCCTTGTGTAGGCTCCATGGATATATACATGGAGCCTATACAAGGAGCCAGAACTTCATGTAAACAAGAATCTTCCCAAGATAAGAGGGCGCTGGTGTAGTACCGGTCCAAAACAGTAGAGTGGTATAACCAGAGATGGCGCCACTACCTACCACTTATTATTGTGGAAATAATTGAGGTTATGCAACTGTCAGTTTATCGCTTTCTGAAAACAATGTACCCATGTACCTGGTTTTGTGTATAAAGGTCTTAATTTACAATAAATTTATATCAAATTTAACATTGGAATTCATGTTGGACTTTCTGATGTAGAGTATAGTACAGTTTTTTATAAATACGTGTTTTTTTCTATAAAAGAATGTCGTGTGATACTAAATCGTGTTCTGTGTGTAAAACTAACAGAATATTAAATTCATATGGTATTTATTTTTAGTTTTATAGGTAGATGGCTTAAATAAAAGTTCAATATAAACAAATAAAGGTGGAAATTATTAAATATGCTGTTTACTCATTTTATACATACTTTTTTATTTAAATTAAATTAAAATTATTAAATAGCGGTGTATTTCTAACCTGGAAATCTAATTTTGCCTCTCCAGAGTCGTAAAATCACTTCACAGATTATAAAGAATCACTTATATTTCACAACCAAAACCTATTTATTTTGCTTCAACACAGTCGTAAAATCACTTCAGATTATAAAGAATCAATTATATTTCACAACCAAATCTATTTATTAGAATCTACCTACCAGGTACAGCCATAAATAACAAAACGATTCGTACGTCAAAACATTATTGCAAATCAATTGTCAAAATTACTTGCTTACTTCACATGTATTTTTGATACTATTTTCACGTCGTACGGACGCATTGACAAACAGCGCCGCTGGTGGTGAAAAAAAAGACCTAATTTGTGCAATTTAGTGGACAGGTTTTGTCAATTTTCCCTATTAAGTTCGGGCTCCTTGTGTAGGCTCCATGGATATATAGTAAATTTAAAAGTAAACTACGTACACGTCATCAAACAAAAATTTTACGCATTGGTACCAACACTAAATGACTAAATCGAAGTCTGTAATTGAATATTTGAATGCATTTTAACCAAATTAAGTTGGCAACAATTGTGATGTTGTCATGTTTACATTCAAATTTTTCATATTTAAATGACACATAAAAAAGAAATTGACGTTTTAGAATTTCGAAGCTGTCAGTTGTGTTTTTGAATATTTCGTTTAATTCGTGTATTATTTCGTTTATTTTGTTTGTTGTTTGTGTTATTTTATATCCTTTAAGTTTTCATTGCCGTTTTTGTGTTTGTTATATATCGTTGTTTTGTGTTTCCTATATTTAAAATGCCGAAGCATTTAAATAGTCGGAGTCCAGAGTTGGTGTCATCCTTAATACGCTATTTTGAGGCAGAACGGGATAATAATGGACCTTTGTTACCTTTAACAGCTGTTAGAGAGGTAAATAGGATTATTATTAATTATATATTAGAATATTTAACAAAATATATGTTGGATACATGAAATAATAATATATATACCAGAGACTGACTTCAGATGGCAAAATTTTTGGGTTTTATATCAGAAAATGTCTTTAAAAATGGCTAAAAACATACTTTTGGCGGTGCATCATATAGGTTATAAAAACTCAGACTTTTGACATTTTGGTATTATTCATGTAAACGCCATCTATCGCCCTGTAGTTGCACTACCACTTTCCCTTGATGCAAGGATTTTAGCATCACATTGACAACCGTGCCCGATCAGCTGATTGATGACGTGTACGTAGTTTACTTTTAAATTTATACGAAAATTATTATTGTGAAACTCAAAATTTAGAATGGAACCCCAAAGAAAAAGACGAAGGTTGGCGGTATGTTTTGGAGAAGATATGTTTAGCACACAACATTATTCCTACATAAACATATTAAATATATATATTAAAAAGAGAAAGACTATTAACCACGTTGAATAACTAGCTCAGCGATATAGTTTTGTGGTCTGGTATTTGTGACGTCATAGTTAGGATTTTTGAACGCACTCTAAACGCAAAAATGCCTTAACTATTAACCAAGGTTAAGTTTAATGACCATAGTATTTCATGGTATTTACGCGAAAAAACGACTAAAGTTAAGTTTAATAACCATAGTATTTCATGGTATTTACGCGAAAAAACGACTTATGTTTCTCTGTCTACACTAAAGTCGTTTTTTCGCGTAAATACCATGAAATACTATGGTCATTAAACTTAACCTTGGTTAATAGTTAAGGCATTTTTGCGTTTAGAGTGCGTTCAAAAATCCTAACTATGACGTCACAAATACCATAAAACTATATCGCTGAGCTAGTTATTCAACGTGGTTAATAGTCTTTCTCTTTTTAATATATATATTTAATATGTTTATGTAGGAATAATGTTGTGTGCTAAACATATAAATATATATATCTTCTCCAAAACATACCGCCAACCTTCGTCTTTTTCTTTGGGGTTCCATTCTAAATTTTGAGTTTCACAATATTAGTTTTCGTATAAACGTTAAACACTGTTGGATTTTAGTTATGGTAAACAACAGGGAGGAACTGTTTATATATAAAAAGAGGTATAGAAAAAATAGGTATAAGAACTAGGGTTCATAGAAAAAGAATATAGGTACAAGGTATAAGAAGAGGCAAAGAAATTTATTTACACCTGTAAAAGCATAGAAATTAAATATAAATGGGTAAAAACACATTTCAAAAATTATAGGTTATGAACAAATGTCAAATGTTAGAAACCTAACCATGGTTATATGAATTAACTGTGAGGTCATGACTTATTTAACCGTAGTATTACATAGTATTTACGCGAAAAAACGACTTAATAATATAATAATATTCTATTAACGACAACTGCCATTATATTTAAATTTGCGACGTACTCAGCATAGAAAAAGGATACTCAGTGTTACCAGATTCTGTCAAAAAAAGACCGTACGTTTCGTTCGAATTTACCTTAAGTACAAAAATGACTCAATGGACAATATTAAATAACGTCAACTTGACATAATTGCATTTATTTGCATTGTTTCATTGTGTCATTTTGCAATAAAGGTAAATTCGAACGAAACGTACGGTCCTTTTTTGACAGAATCTGGTAACACTGGGCGTACTCCTGTGTAAACCTGTCTCGTTTTGCAGCGACATCTACTTTATTCTTAAATGGAATGGACGCTTGTAGCACGTTTCGTTTTTTTTCAATACAGGTTACTGCAATCTTATGTTCTGTGCTGCAATCTGTGCACAAACTGTCAACGCATTGTTCGGGACATAAATCAAATAGAATAAAATTTGAAAAAAGTCAGCGGCGGCGTAGCCATACAACTTTGAAAACCACGTCGGCGGCGCAGTAGACTCTGCCATTAATTAACGTTGATTTAATTTTTAAGCATGATTTCAAATTTTTTAATTTAAAAAAAATATTTAGGTAATAAATTTTTTGAGTTAAAAATACCTAATAAAAATACCTAATAAATTAATACATTTGGAAGATTACAAATTAGTTTTTATTTTCACCACCAGGTTGATATTCACCTGTCCAATTTTATTCTGTCATCTAGAAAGTGTCAGGATTCGATCATTAATCATTGATTATCGTGGTGGAGTGTGAATCTTATCAGTGACGCCTAAACTGAGTGATAAAATGAATTGTAAATTATAAACCCACACATCTGGCAACCGTACAGGACGTAGTAAAGTTAATTTCGAGTCTAGCCGACCTCCATTTTAGAAAAGCAAAGGGCTTACCTGGGATTTTGACAGACTGTGTTAAAAACCGTGCAAATTTGTGTACTTTTTGAGAAACTCACTCGAAAAGAGATGAACAAAACTGAATAGTTGGACAAAAACTGTGTATTTTGCAGTTAATAAAGGGACTATAAAATTTTAGATTTGTTAAAATATTTCCATTTGCAACAAAATAAACTGCTATTGCAACGTAAACATTTGGCACATAAAATTTTACAGTAGTAGTACTAAACTTGAACAGTGTTAATTGTAAGATATGAGTCGAAACCAAAGTGGAAATCGCTTACAAGTTCCCAATGATTTAAGAGAAGTTTTATTGGAATTCACTATAAGTTACCTCCTAGAACAACCAGGAGATGTTGTGGCTTATGCAGCTGATTATTTTCAAAGATTACGGGAAACCAGAACTACTTCCTTAATCTATGGGGGCTCAGGGACACAGGATTTGATGTCTCCTGATGAGTCTACAATATCAGGAGAAGAAGGTAATTGCCCTACTTTTATATTTTCTATCTATAGGTATAGGTATGCTATTTTACATACCTACTTTCTCTGATTATCCTAGTTAGCATTAATGTAAGTAAAGTAAGTTTAACAAGCTTAAAACTACTTTCAAACAGAAATATAAGGTTGAGCTTAAAAACTTAAATTTTTAAAATAAAATATAAATTAATCTCTTATACAGGGTCACCCTGTCTGAGTGTCTAACAAACTAGCTAATAAAAAAAACAAAAAAATTGTGTATAATATGGTCAAATTAGACCAAAAAATAACAGTGAAGGTACATAAATTTACAACAAGCTGAAAATCAGTAAAATCGTTCGGAATATAATTACAAATAAAATTTTAAAGTTCCCCATCATTCCCCTGTATGGAAAAAATTTTATTCAAGGTCAAAGGTCAAAAAAATGAGATTTTCGCGATTTTTAGCAAAACGGTAAGTTTTATCATAAAAATATCCTAAACAAAAATTGTAGATCAGAAAATTATCTACAAAAAATGTATACCTAAATACTTTTTTCCTACGAACCACCGTTTCTGAGATATAACGATTCGAAAAGTTGTAAAAGTTGTAATCGTCATAATATGCATGAGTACGCCACGTATATACATCTTTAGAGTTGTAATATATGTTAAAATATTTTTCTATCAGTCATTTTAACTTACACTTAAAATATAAAGTATACCTACATAAGTTATAACTAAAAGAATATCAAGTGAAATAAAACCCAGTCTCTTAAGGGACTGGGTATAAATTAATTAATTTATACGCCCTTGTAACCTCGAGACAACATCTGTGACAGATGACAGATGATCTGTCTCATGTTCAATTGTGTGACCTGCTATAGTTGGTGCTTGCTGCGGGTGGGAATCGCGCCGCGACCGCTCCTCCTAAACTAGGTAGTAATTTTATATTTCTCACGTCTTCTGTCACCTTATATGTGTTATCTGTCAATTGTAATCTGTCTACTGTCATTAATCACCTGTCATCTGTCAACTTGACATCTGTCACCTGTCATCTGTCACCTGTCATCTGTCACCTGTCATATGCCACCTGTCATTTGCCACCTTATCGATTTGATTTCGGGGATTTTAATTGGTTAACTTTTTTAAATACCCAACAAAAATTAAACGGGCTTCTGGCCGATTAGTTTTCATTCGATGAAGCTCATCTTTTAGTATGTCAAACTTTGTTCTTTTACCCGTCGATTCGTGTATTTCGTTCGGCCAATTTAGAAAATTTCTCTCGCCCTAAAAAACGTTTAAAAATTTTTGGAAAAAAAATAAAAAAAGAACGTTGTTCGAAAAGTTTCCGGCGGATCCGGCCCGTTTGCAATATTTATTTTTTCCGTTGTCTGTTTATCCTTTTTTTTTCTAAGCGTTGTAGCTCGGAGGCCGTTGAAGGTTGAAATTTGCATCCTTTTTTCTGCCCACGAGACCTATCCGCGGACCAAATTTTTCCGGTGTCGAAAAGGCCCAAGTCCACTTTTTTTCGATTTTTTCGTCAAATTTGGCACGTTCCGTTGTCTTCGCTTAACTTTTGAACGAGCGGAGATTTTTCGGCCAAACTCGAGAAAAAGGTGCTTCGAGACAAGAAGTTATCACCAACGGCATTCGATTTCTTCTTTCTATATATGGAGCTCCAAAAAAAACTACCTGCTTTGATAAGTATCGATATGCATGTTTCGTTAAAAAATCTAAAAGTAAAAAACAAGTTCAATTAGCTTGTCTTCCTCCAACCTCAGTTGCTGCTCATCAACATCTTTTTCAGGTATATTACCAAGTTCAAGTGTGGCTTGGTTATCAGCTAGACCCTACAGACTGGGGTTGCAAGTTGGTCAACAACACATTAGAACCAGTTCAAACATTACTCCCACCTGCGCCGGAAAAACTGCTGAACACAATTTTTTGCAACTGCAAAAAGGGATGCAGTGCTAAATGTGGTTGCAAAAAAGTCGGACTTTTTTATTCTCTGGCATTGTCAAGGCCGGTCGTGTTCTAATGTTGAATCACCAACAGTGGAGGATTCATTTAATTCCAACGAGGTGACATGCGATACATCGTACTTCAGTACTTTTTTTTAAATTTACATAAAATAGTTTCAAATTAAACAGGATCACAACTGACCCGTGAAATTATGGCAAGCCGTTTTAGTTTTTATTACACATGGCCATCAAGTCTCATTTTAATTCGACTTGATTTCTATGAGACATTAGATAATTGAAATTATATGTATTTTCCTTAAGGGAAATTACATTTTTATTATAATTTCAAAATTGAATGCATATTTTTTTTACAAATAGTAAAAATAATGCATTTGTTGTATTTATTTCCATTGGTTTTTTAAATATTGTCCTTAACGTGAAAGCAATTTTCTTTAACAGAAATTGTATTAAATTTACTAATTATAATTTTAATGCAAATTATGTTTACTGTTTTAGTTTTTTGGAGCAATTTTATGACACATTAAAAGGATTTTATTTTAATTCAATTTTATTAAAGTAGCTTCTGACTTGGATACAATGTTACATTTTATTTATGTTAGACCAGGCTAAGTATTAAAATAAAACGTATTAAAATTACTATTACGAATAAAAATGCATTTGTCCTTAAAGATATAGTTTTATACTTTCCTAAATGACATAAAAATTAAAAACATTTTAATTTGAAATACTCATTGAAATGTTGTTCCCGAATAAAATTTAGAACCGCAATACATAGAGTCTAACAATATTTAGAGAATCAGAAAATAACATCGAATTAAAATGAGACTTAAGTTAATTAATGATCATGTGTACAAACAATAGCTCGAATTACTTTTATTTTTAACTAAACAAAAATAAACTTCTATTTCCGTTAAGGGAAATTACAAATCCCTTAACGAAAATGTTATTTCCCTTAACGGAAATGCTATTTCCCTTAACAGAAATTACATTTCCCTTAAGAGAAATTAGTGGCGCTATCTGTGGTGAAGATGCCGAAGGTTCCACCGCTTACAGAGTTCTGCCTTTGGTTGGGATGCCAGAATCTTTCATTTTGTTTGAATGCAACAAATATGACACAATTAACAATAATGAATAATATTACTACTACAGTTTGCTATTTACTACTTCTTTTCGTTTTAATATCCTTTATTAGAAACGTTAAAACACACCTTACACATGCGGCGTTGCCACACAACATTCGATTCGAATGATGCGATTCCAAAGTCGATCGGTGTCATCGCGATTCGATTCGGAGAGTTTGGTTTTCTCGAGTAGTACCCATAATTATTAATATTACTATTATTATAGCATTATCAATACAAATTTTGTGACAATTTTCTGAAAATTCGATAATTTTGTCAATAATTTGTCGATGATTTGTCGATGATTTGTCGATAAATTCACTTTTTACATCTGGCAACACTGGTGGGTGATATTTTGTGGGTGGATGTCAACAGATGTAACGGTTGGTTTTTAAATTAAAAAGGTAACAATCAAAAAAATTCTTTTTACTAATAAATCTTTTGTAAAATCACAGTGCAATAATTTCATTTTATAGAATTTTGATAAAATTAACTTCAGCCGTCCTCTCATAGATGGCGCCAATTTCCCTTAACGGAAATGCTATTTCCCTTAAGGGAAATACAATTTCTCTTAACAGAAATGATATTTCCCTTAAGGGAAATTGCATTTCCGTTAACGTAAATGCATTTAAATTCTTAATTATAATAAAAACTACTTTCCTTAACGAAATTTGCAATAAAATTACTATTTGTCATAAAAATAATTTTTATTATTATTTCAAATAAAAATGAAATGTTTTAGTATTTTTATTACAATTTCGAATGTAAATCATCCTCTACATCTAATCTTTTCAATTTAATGTACCCAAAATTTCAATGCTTATTAAAAAAGGAATTTTATTTATAATTTGTAATTAAAATGTAATTTCCCTTAAGGAAAATAAATATAATTTCAATTATCTAATGTCTCATGGAAATCAAGTCGAATTAAAATGGGACTTGATAGCCATGTGTAATAAAAACTAAAACGGCTTGCCATATGAAATAGGCCTACTGGGGAAGCCACGTTAAAAAACGCGCTAAGTAAACTACCTCATAGGTGGCGTGGAAACGTGTGCATATTATGGCGATTATAACTTTTACAACTTTTCGAATCGTTATATCTCAGAAACGGTGGCTCGTAGAAAAAAAGTATTGATACATTTTTTATAGATTATTTTATGATCTACAAATTTTTTTTGGTGTATTTTTATGATAAAACTTACCGTTTTGCTGTAAATCGCGAAAAATATTTTTTTTGACCTTTGACCTTGAATAAAAAGTTTTCCATACGGGGGAATGATGGGGAATTTAAAAATTTTATTTATAATTATATTCTGAACAATTTTACTGATTTTCAGCTTGTTGTAAATTTATGTACCTTCGAATGTCTAGATTGACCGGACTAGTAGGTACCCAAATATATAAAAATTGGATTGACCAAAATATATATTGAATTAATTTATTTATATAAGTTGCTTTAAAATTGAAAATTACATCACAATAAAATAACACATTTTCTTATTATATTTTAAAAGTTAGCTGATGTTGTTAGCTATTGTGTAAAATTTATTATATTATACATATTCTTATTCGATTTACATAAATTGATATAAATTTTAAGTGTGGATAAGTGCATACAATAATATTTTTTTAGGTAGAAATGTCAATTTTGCACAGAAAAAATAAATTTTATGCAGTATTAGATTATGTTTTGAATACTAAATTTTGATAAACAAAAAGCAAAAAAAAATTAAAAATTGCCTTTGGTGTTGTTATGTTCTGTTGTTATTGAGAAAAGTTGCTTAAAATCAAAATCAGCGTCCGTATCCTAAATTTTTGAAAATAAAAAAACTTGCAAATAAAATTCTTTAATTTAGGAAATGAACAAAAGAAAATGTGTGAGATCTAAGTTGCCTCAGGATTTTGAAATTTGGG